CCAGGCCGGAGCGACCCGGTGCCTGGAGCCCGGCCGCGGGGCCGGCGAACCGAGCTTGGCCAGAGTCCCGCCGCCTCGCGGTCTCAGTAACTGGGTGGCCGAGGGGACAGAGCTCCGGACTAGACAGCACCTAAGTTGTCCGCTCCCGCCGGGCGGCCTTTCGGAGCCGAGGTCCCGGCGCAGAGGCAGGAAGAAGCTCAGGACCGGCAGGCTGGGCCAGTGCGGCCGCGCCGGGGCAGGTAGGGCCCAGGCGTGCGGGCCAGGACTTCGGAGGGCTGAGGGGGCGCCGGAGGGAGCGGGTGGCAGAGGCCGAGGGCGGCGGTTCTCGCGGTTCACCCTCAGCTCCCGCTGGAAATGCAGGCTGCTCGCTCAGCCTCCCGAAGCGCATTGGGGTTTGTGGAAAACAGGCTGGAAAACTGAGGCAGGGCGAGGAAGCTAAGAGTAAGTCCCGAAGCTCCTTTTTCCGGATCCCCCTGGGAAGGGAACAGGATGCCAGAGATCCTGGTCCCAGCCCTCGCTTTCTTCTGGCCGTTTGGACCCTGGGGTTCACAGAGGAGATGGGGAAGCTGGACTGCACTCAGAGAGAAATGGGCTCCCCTGAGAAAAGACAAAGCTGCATGTGGGGCTCAAACAAGGGCTCCTGATCGGGGCGGGGAGAGGTGGACCTACTCAAAAGGAGGTGCGCCTGGAGGGACCGGAGCTGTCTGCCGAGCACCCCCATCCCTCCAGCCACCCCACTGCCCCCCAAGGCCTCCCCCTCCCGGGAGCGAGAGCACCCAGGGTGCTCAGTTCCTCCCGGCCTCGCCGTGCTGTGCATTTGGGTTCTGTGCCTCTTTGGTGACGGAGGGAGGAGAGGCCCGTAGGGAGAATGGAGAAGCTGCTGGGGCTGTGGCCGCTGAGGCGCGGAGACCGGGGCACCCCAGTCCGGCGCTCTGGAGGGGACCTGATGGTGACAGTGGCAGAATGGAGCCAGGTCCGTGCGAGTCCGGCAAGCAAGTGCCAAGGGGCAGGCCGGGGCGGGATAAGGGGTTAGAGGCTGAGGCAGAGCGCGCAGGGCCTCGGGACTCTTCCCCAGGGGCCTCCTCCCGCCAGGACACTGACGCGTTCTGCCCAGAGACCCTTTCCGGACCCTCTGCTCTGTACCAGGGCCAGAGATGACAGCAGTGATTCTTAGAGCTCCCCCTCCACGCCCTGCCTCACTCCTAGAGCAGAGAAACTCCCAGCCGCTCCTCCCAGCTCCTGCCCACCATGTTCCCAGAGTCTGAGGGCCCCCGCGCCTGTTCCCAGGGCAGAGGGAGGCTCCTGCCTGCCAATAGTTTCAGTTTGGACTGCACTTCAGTGCCCAGTGCAAGCCCTTGCCCTCTCTCAAGCGTTCCTTCACCTGTCCGGGCCCTGGGCCTCCTCCGTCCCTCACTGCCCCACCCAACCCGTCTTTCCTGCTTGCCCAGGTGGGGTGAGTCCAAGGCCAGCAGATGAACAGACAGAGACTGAAGGATCCTGAAGAAGGTAAGCGAGGAACTGCGGAAGGTGGGCAGTGGGGGTAGACCGAGACCAGGTGTCCCATCCTTGGGAACAGCTGGTCCCACCGTTTGCTCTGGCCTCTGGGATTCCCAGAACTGTCCGGCACTTGAGGGAGCTCAGCAGTGCTCCAAAGGGCTAGCAGAGCAGTAGACGCGGTGACCCAGGCTTACCCTGAGCTTGTGGCCTCTCCACCCCTGGGACGCTCTTGTCCCCTTCTGTGGCTAGGCAGCTCCCAGCTATTTTGTGCTTCTTGCCTGTGATTCTCATTTCTGGCCCCCTCTGTTTCACCTCTGGGATAGATTTCTGAGGCTTGAACCATGATGGGAGGAGGAGGAGACGGAAAAGGTATGAGGCAGAAGCCACGTGGGGCAACGGGCAGACAGCAGGCTTCTGGGCTCAGCCACCAAGGGTTGCCTGGCCTTGGGCCAGTCCTTTGGTTTTAGCCTTGGTTTTCTTTCTTCCTTTCTTTTTATTTTATGGGAAAAAGGTAAAACAAAATTTCATAACAAACTCATAGGAGAATCACAATAGTGAATATATTACATGTTGTTAGCTTTAAAGTAGCTGCTCATGATACAAGATAGTGAGCATAAACACTTCTCTAATTGATAGTAGCACAAACCTTCCTTTTTGATGAACTAAGAGACACTCATAGTATAACTGACTTGCATTTTTTCCCTTTTCCCTACTGTGCTTTCCCCTTTCACCCATCCTAGTTTCTTTTTCCTTATGAACCATTTCTTCCCATTTCACAATATCTATTATACATTTTGGTTCTTATTTACTCTTTCAGTTTCTTGTATCAGGGAGACAATACAATGTTTACACACATGAGTCTGATTTATTTCACATATGAGTATGATCTCAAGTTGCATCCATTTACCTATAAAAGTCTCAAGTTTATCCTTCTTTATGGCTGAGTAGTACTCCGTTGTATAAAAACACATCTTTTTTTATTCATTCCTTGGTTGATGGGTATTTCTTTCTTTTTAAACATAAACCTTGTGCCACTTGTGGTGGTACACACCTGTAATCCTATCACTTGGGAGGCTGATGCAGGAGGATTGCCATAAGTTGAGGCCAGCCTGGAATACACAGTGAGCTCAAGCCCAGCCTGAACTACATAGTGAGACCCTGTCCCAAAGAAAACAAAACAGAACAAAAATAAATTTAAATTTTGTTTAAATTGAATTGCTACTACATTTCCATGGTTTGAAATTCAAAAAGAACTTGGGAGAAAAAAGAACTGTCCCTTCAGCCTCCGTTTCCTAGCCAACTATTTTCCCCTCTTAATGGCAAACAATATTGTTAGTTTTTGCGTTCATTTTCCAGGGCTAGTTTAAGCATATGCAATTAACATAAATAGATGCTGTCTTTTACATGCTGTACACATACCATTTGCATTTTGCTTTTTTTCCCTTTCATGGTGAATTATCACTGAAGATCTCTGCATGTATCGTTGCCAGAAGACCTTTCCCCATTGTTTTTTTACTGCTGCCTGGAAAGGACTGCATTTGTACAGGTTCTCTACAGTGCCCTCGGCCAGTCCCTTACTGATGGTTGCTTGGGTTGTGTCCAGGCTTTTTAAGCTTCCTTTTGCTCGTCTGTAAAATAATTCTGCTTTGCGACGTAGTCATGAAGGATTCAGGAGCATGCGTGTGAAATGCGTGGGTCAGGAGCTCACGAAGTGGCAGTCAGCATTATTGTTCCTCCCATGTCACAGCCCTCTAGTTCGTTCTTCAGGGCCACTTTTAAATGTCATCTCTTCCATAAGCGCTCATCACTTCCTACAGTGACCTCATGCCTGGCTGCAAGCTGCCTGGGGACAAGGTGTGCATCCTCCTGGAGGGCATGGCACAGAGAAGGGGCTTGAGATGAGCACAGGGAGCTCCTGCTGGAGCTGAAGCAGGCTATGTGCTTCTCTCCACAGGATGAGCTGGAGGGGCATGTGGAACTGGCGCCCAGGTGGCTGGCTGCTGGCATTGTGCCTGGCCTGGCTGTGGACCTACCTGGCCTTGGCATCCTTACAGCCTCCAACTGCCACAGGTTTGGGACAGGCAGTGGGACTGGGACCTGCAGAGATGACAGTACCTCACCCCATCCCACACAGCCACATAGCAAGCAGAGCTCTGAGGTGGACTAAAATCCCCAGATTTCAGAGTTCTGGCTTTCTTCCGTTTACCACCCAGGAAATTCTGCCCCTTCTGCTGTCTCAGCCAGGGGAAGCTCTGGGCAGACCCGTGGCTCAGCATCCCTTCCACTGTGGAAGGAGTTGTGCACGGAGGGAGGCCCCTTTGTGGAGCTTAAATCTAGTCTCCTGGCCTAATTCTGGGGTTTTCCTTCTGGGAGAGCTAAAGCCTGTGTAAGCGGATGATCCTCCCCACGCATTGTAAGCCCCGGGGCCCTTGCCCTCACCCTGAGAAAGCAGAGAGGTAGGGGCTGATATAGGATGTCAGATTTTTTTCTGCCCACAGACCAGGCTCTGCCAAAGAGGGTGAAAAGTATATATGGTCTCCCTGGGGAGGGGCAGGAAGATTTCACCCTCCTCCTCATCCCTTGACACTGGAAATCTTTCCACACTTGCCGTGCTGGGTCTCGTGCATGCGAGGCAAGCGTGCTGCCACTGAGCTGCGTTCCCAGCCCCAGAAATCTCTTAACCTTCTCCCAAGCAGGGAAGAGGAGATGGAGGACCACTGGGGGGTGAGGAGCAAGTGTGGGGGCCTGGGCTGGGTGCCTGACCTTACACAGCTGGCCCCGTCAGTCCTGGTGAAGCAGGGCACCTGTGAGGTGATTGCCGCTCACCGCTGCTGCAACCGGAACCGCGTTGAGGAGCGCTCCCAGACGGTCAAGTGCTCCTGCTTTTCCGGCCAGGTGGCTGGCACTACGCGGGCAAAGCCCTCCTGCGTGGATGGTGAGTGAGCGGCCAGGCCCTGGGCAGGCGGGAGGCCCTGAGCAGAGATAAGGAGGTCTGTTCTGGCCTCACCATCTGCTGGGGCTCCAGTTTCATACCCATCTCAAGGCTTTCGTGATCAGAGTCTCAAATGATGGGTCACCCTCTCGGGGAGAGGAGGGTGAGACACAGCCAGCCGGGGTCATAGAGAAGGAGAACTCCTGTTAGATGCCTGTCCTCCCAACACACCCACGCCCCAGGCGCACGGACAGCTGCCTTCCCTCACACACTGTGCTACCTTACACAACGCCTCCAGACCGGATGTCACCCCCTGCTCTTTTCCTGGGCCTCTTCCACCGTCTGTTCGTTCTCAGCCTGCCTCTACCCTCCCCTCACATGGACACATGGACGTCCTTCACGGCCCCCTTCTCACCTCCCGTGCACACTTGCGTCCTCATGCTGATGAGGCACCCATAGGACCATCTCCCTGCGCTCACACGCACTCCTGGTCGCCGGGCTCCTCCGTGCAGATCACACTTGCTCACACATACCAAAGGGTCTGCTGAAGGTTGTGCCTCTGTGCTAATGACACAGTTGCCTCAGAGGTTACTTGAGACCTTTGGTGAGGTGCAGACATCTACGGCATCGCACTGGATAGAGTTATGTTCCCAGGTCTCAGCCTCTCTGGGCAGTGCAGAGTAGCGGGAGACAAGAGAAATGCAAGACTCAAAGCCAGGGTGTGTGGAAAGGGCAGCATAGCCACATACCCGCCCTTACCTGCCCGCTGTTCTCACAGAGAGCTTAGGGCTGTGCTCCTACCTCCTCCTGCCCCACAGCCTCCATCGTCCTGCAGAGGTGGTGGTGTCACATGGAGCCGTGCCTGCCAGGGGAGGAGTGCAAGGTGCTCCCGGACCTGTCAGGATGGAGCTGCAGCAGTGGACACAAAGTCAAAACCACCAAGGTATCCGGCCAGGTGGACCCTTCACCCTACCCCTCCCCCTCCTCCTTCACCTGGGACAGCAAAGGAGTCACAGAAGCCCTGGGAATTCAGGGTGGCAGTGTCCCAAGGGGGGATTGGTGAGCCATGAGAATGTGTCCCAGGCAGTCCTTCTGGGTCTATCCTGATCCTGAGGGTTTGAGTTACAGTGCTGGATCTAAAATCCAGTGTGTTCTTCTTGGTGGGTTCTTGATGTTCCATGTGCCTCAGTTTCCTCCTCTCTGGCTAGAAGGAGTTCACCTCCAGAAAATTCCAGACCTGTAAAACCAAACCAGAGGCCAGGCACATAGGTGTACACCTGTAATCCCAGGTACTTGGGAGACTGCAGTTTCCAGGGCAGCCTGGATCAAATAGTGATATCCTGATCCACAAAAGTAAAATAAAAATGGCTAGGGATATAGCTCGGTGGTAGAACATTTGCCTAGCAGGCCTGGGTTCAGTCCCTACACACACACACACACACACACACATGAATTGATTAAATTATCTAGATAATTCAGGGAAGAAGTCACTATTTCTACTCGAATTCCAAGTACAGAAGCCACTGTGCCAACTACCTCTGCCATGGACCGACATGCACACTCACCCCACTCCCACGATGATTAACTCCCCACAGTTCATCCCTACCTTTCTCCCGTCAAACTTCTCCGTCTGTTGTGAAAGTACCCAAGAGGATTATTGTGTTCATGGTTTGCTGCTTGCCCCACAAAACAAGGTGGTAATTAAAATTTTATCAAAGTTGTTAGCAATTCCAAGTGTGTCATGGCTAATTAGTTGCATCATTTTGTCACCATCTGTCTGTACAGATGAGTGACAGTGCAGGGCCAACCAAAGCACTGCCTTCTGCCTTTCCTCTTCTCTCTCTCTCTCTCTCTCTCTCACATACACACACATACACACACACATACACACACACACTCACACCACACACGCACACACACGGCAAACAGAAGGAAAGGAGGCTTCCAAGGTTCTGAAGAAAGCAGCTGTTTTCACAGAGTACAGAACAAAAGGAACCACCACAGGAAACTGTTTGACTGGACGTAGAGCAGAGCATTCTCAGTATATTTAAGCCTACAAGAGAGAGAGAGACCCATTGCAGAACTAGACATCTGCCATGATGCTATAGTTTTGTTTGTGGTCTATAAGGCTGATCACTGCGTTGAGACTCAGAAATAAATGGTGGTGAGGCTTGCTGGTTTGTTTGTGGGCCACCAGACCACACTCTCCCAGCTAGGACTGGTTTAGGAGGAGAAGACCAGCAGCAATGGCCTCTAAATAACCTGCATGTCATAGGGAGCCTCTGGGGTGCTGGAAAGGATCCACATTGCCTTCTCTAACCTTCCTCTATCACTTGCTCCGTAGGTCACACGATAGCTCTTGGGGGTCATGGCTGAGGACAGGCTTGGTTAAGCCCCGGACTGAAGAATGGCATTTAGCCACCAGCCAACAAATATGGGGACACCTGCTTCATGCCAGATGCAACATCAGTCATTCCAGGGCATTTCACTGAAGCTACTTGGCAGATATGATGACTCTCCAACCACATACCTAGACTACTGCGTGCTTATGGAGACAAACAAGAAGGTGACAACACAATTCTTGCTCTTAAGGACTGGCCAGTCAAGCTGGGGATTTGATGACTAATAGTTTAGATAATTTGAAGTATATATCATGGCTTCTGAGCCACCTGTCTGCAGTGGGCCTGGGAGGGGTTTGAAGATGAGACTTCCATACCTCTTCAGCCATCCCTTGACCACAGGGCACAAAGACAAGAGGTCGTATTCGGCACCTTCTCATCCCATCCTTCACATGAATCCTGAATCACCACTACACTGCTAACAAGTTGAAGGAAAGCCCTCTTTTTTATGCCAGGCAGACGGTATCTCAGATGGGATGGATTGACTTGGGGAAGGTGAGCAAAGGTGAAGTTGAACAGCATTTTAGCAAAGCATCTGCAGAAGCATAGCATGGTTTGGGCTGTTCATTGGGTGTGGGATGAGTAGGACCTTAGAATCTCCCTCAAGCCCCTTGGGTTTTTGTTCATTTGTTTGTTTTAACAGATGAGGAAACTAAATTCTAAAGTGCTGAGGTGATTTGCCCAAGATCTCACAACCTGGGCTCCCAAATCTCTCTGATTGTGCCCTTTCACCAGAGATGCTGGGTTCCAACCTGGTCCTTCCATGTTAATTTTTTTTTCATGTACTGGACCTGTAAAGTACTGGCAGAGTAGCAGCAATATTTTTCTCAGGAAATGCTGTAGTGGGGACTTTGACCAAAACCATGTTCTCCTGTCCAAAATAATCCAGAACACCTGCACCCCAGGGTGTGAAGTCACTTGGTCTCCACTGTCCCCCTAGCCCCCAAAATTCCACACAGGTTGAAGCCTAGAGGTCACCCAGGCTACTTAGACTTGGGGAACTCTGAGCTAGTGTCACCATTGCCTAAGACTGGTCAGAACCCTGTCCCTTCAAAGGCTGTGCTGAGGGAAGAGGCGAAGCAGGCCGGAGCCTTTGTCCAGAACTGACAGCTGGCACCCTAAATGGCTTGGAGATAACCCTGGGGCCTCAGAAAAAGAGCCCCAGCCTCCCTGACTGTGAGTGTCCCTAGGACTTTAGGATATAGGGCGTCTTTAGTGATGAACCTGGGAGCTGCTGAATTCCGACCCATAGAGAGGGCAATTCTGATGACGGTTTGAGGCTGAATCTGTTTTTCCCTCTTCACCTGCATCATCCAGTAGAACCAAAGCTGTTATTCTCTTGTCCTCACCCACCACAGTGTGCTTTGATTTTGTTTTTGTTAATGGAGTGAACAGTGACGTGAGCTTCTCACTCAACTGTAAACAACAGAGCCCTGACAACCGAAATCTGCGTATAGTGAGCTCATGAGGCACGGCAGTCGAGGAGCTGATCAAAGGCTGTCATTGCCTTCTTCACGGCTGGGGAATAGAGGCTGAAAGGATGGAGCAAGGGGCTGGCCAACTTCTTCTAGAAAGGGCTTAGATAGTAAATACGTTAGGCTTTGCAGACCACAGAAGTCTCTGTTGCATATTTTCTTCGTTTTTATTCAAAAATGCAAGAGCCATTCTTAGCTCGGGGGATACACAGAAACAGATCCTGACTCCTGAACAGAAGTTTGCCAACCCTAGGGAACCCTTGAAGGCACTGCAGTGTGGGACGGCCTCCAGCTCCGGGCCTGCCCTTGGTCAGTCAGTCGGGTGGAAACCTGAGCACAAGGGCTGGGGCAGGTTTTGTTTTTCTTTTAATGCGCCTGAGAGATGGGTGAGTGAATTATTTAGGCTACAAATGAGATAGCTTTAACAGAGTCAGACAGTAAAAACCTGCTCTCTTGGAGGCTAGAATGTGGGCTTCTCCATTGCCTCCTCAGCCTTGAGGCTGTGTGCAAGGAGAGGGCTGCAGCCCCCTTGCTCACCTGTCCTCCACAAGCTGCTGGGCCGTGGCTGGGGAGTGAGCGGGGGGAAGGGACGATACATAAGGTTCCCTTATCTGCCAACTACCACCGGCCCCTGCCTCTGCCAACCTGCTGATTCCCTGACCTTCCCAAACGCCCCTCCTCCCTGCTCACTGAAGGACCTCTTTCCTTTGATGTGTGATGGAATTTGCTGGCTCTTGGTTTTAGTTCTTCAAAGCCTCATTTCCTCCAGACCTGTTCAGGTATTTATTTGGTGGGCTTTGAGGGGTACTTTTTTTTTTTTTTTTTTTAAGACAGGGTCTCCCTATAGTTCAGGCTGGCCTTAAACTCACAGCGTCTCTTGTTGGGCTTACAGGCATGAGGCACCATGCCTGGCTCAAGAGGTATCCTTTTTAAGAGCAGGAAAGCCCCACATAAGTTCCCTAGGATCCTGTTTTCAACTGAACCAATATTGGTGTGCACTTTATAACTATTACAATGGCAGTCTAGAAATGCAAATTAATTTCCCTGGAGTGTAGGGTTTCTAGGTTCATCTGTATTCTTTTACTACTCTTCATGGGACAGGATCTCAGATTCTCTGAAGTTGACTGTACCCTGTCCCCCTCAGCCTCCGAAGGCCTTAGGAAGGTTACCAACTACAGATGACGTAGCTAATTTCTCTTGGCCTCTCGTCAGTTTCATTAAGGTCTGAATGACATCCTCATTAGTGGCCCCAGACAGTTCACAGAGTTGAGGCTACAGCTTCCTAAAATCGCAAAGCTTATGGCTAGAGTCCAGTTAGCTAACTCCCTCATTTGATAGATGAGGCCAGAGTGGCTCAGGGAGGTTAGGGAATCTGCCCAAAGTCACACCTCAGGCTGGTGGCGTGTCTTGCCCAGTGATTCAGACAAGTGTTCTTGATCACAACGTGTTCTTTCCACTACTGCACGTGGCATCTTATCCCAGAACAGAGGACAAGCTTGGAAGGAAGCCAGATTTTAGTGAGGATGAATGTGAAAAGGTCTCATGCTAGAATCACCCAAGCCTGTGAGTACTCAGGTACAGAAGGAAAAGAAAAGCGTTTGAAGATACATACAGAGAAAGAGGGAAGAAGGGAGAAAAATGGAGAGATTAGCTGGACATGGTGGTGCATGCCTGTAATCCCAGCACTTGGGAGGCTGAGAGAAGAGGATCATTGTGAATTCAAGGCCAGCCTGGGCTACAGAGTGAGACCCTGTCTCAACAAAACAAAACAAAACACCCCAAAACAACAACAGTGAACAAAATGAAGAGACTGACATCATTCATTCAAAATATCATAACGCTAAAGCACAGAACATTAAAAAGTAAATGAAGGGGCTGGGGATTTAGCTCAGCGGCAAAGCGCCTGCCTGGCAAGCGCAAGGTCGTGAGTTCAGTTCCCGGTACCGGAGAAAAACCAAAAAA